CCTTGCTGTTTTTTTTTTTCAGTGGAGCGTACCAAAAATAAGAGAGGGATGTCCAACCGCTGCAAAGCACGGACAGCATTCATGCAATTGTGCAAGCGAGAATGGTATAAGTGCACGGAGCCCTGTCGCTGTGGACTGGTCCCAGTAGCGCAGGGAGGGCCGGGGGCTCCATGCCATTCTGCAGGACAGCAGCTGAAGGCCACTGCTTCCTGTCCACTTCACACACCCGCCTGTGAATACAACACTGATGCATTGTGGGTGAAATTTGCCACAGAACGAGCCCTGTGCTAAAATCAGCCATCTACTTCTCACAAGTAGAAATATCTTTTCCTGTTTAATTTCTTCCCCTGGAAAAAAAGTGCCTGTTTGCCCATTTTCTGTTCTCTTTTTCTATATGTATCTATATATCGGTTACACTAATTTAAAGGTTAAATGCAATGATAAAGTACAGCGTTGGGTCAACGGAACAGTGGGCGGAACAGCTGTTATTGTTGCTGCTTGTGAATGCTAACAGAAGCTGCTGGAAGCGTAGCTTAGTTAAGAGGAAACTGGGCAGCTGGGAGCGAGACACAAAGCAAATGAAAAAGCTGAAAAGGCAAAACAGTCCTTTTTAACCGTGTCCAGTAGGAAAACTTTATAAAAACGTTGTGGAGCAAGCAGTTCTCAGCCAGTAAACAGTCCCCTGCAGTCTGGGTAACAGCTTAGTCACATAGCAGTTATTGCTGCCAGTCTGTCTGAGGCATTGGTTCGCTACTGAATAGGCAGTTCGAAGATGGATGGATGGATGGATGGAGGGAAGGATGGATGGATAAATGTTTTATTAACAAGGAACAGGAACAGGGCCCACACTATCTCGTGACACATAGAAATGTATATGTGTTGATGGCTATCTGGGCTAAACAAAGAAATAAAACAAAGCTGAAAGCAAGTCTTCAAGGACCAGCTGTCCACAACTGAAGGAACACCACTGATATTCAAAAATGAGGATCTTTTGTCTATTTCTGTGCTCTTAAAGGTTCCTTAAAGGAGTCATTTCATAATCTATCGAACCACTGAGCCCACCAGCAGGAAGGGAAACGGTATGACTGGAAGACATCCGTCTCCGGTGTCTCGTTCTGTGAAACGATGGGAAAAAAATAAAACTGAACCACAAGCCCTACGCTTTATGACATATGGGCTCTTCCTGTGAGCTTTTAAGTGGTTAGTCTGAGCATGTGACCCAGCAGAAGCTACTGGAATTGTGTTTCTCAAGGTCTCACTGCGAGACTCGGTTGGTTTGTCTTTGCCATGTGGACGTTTTGTTAAAGTAAAAGCATTTTCAGTAGAGACACACCACTGCCATCTCAATCCTCGCCCTCGTCCCCGGGGAACGTTATCCGAAGGCTAGCCGTTTCCTTCACTCATTAGTCTATTTTCCCGTAAATCATAATCGAGGGGGCTGTCCCGGTCCATCGCGGCCCTTTGAAGCCCGAGGAATATCACGTGTCTTGTGTTAGCGTGCGCCGCGGTCACGCTGATTTACTGCCGCGTTAAATGGCATCATAATCACCAGAGCCACGGCTAGGGGCCGAGAACGTCCGGGTCGCCTGCCGCACCAGCAGATATGAAAGGCGAGGCAGCCGGACTCCCAAGACCTGCTTCAAAGGGAGCCTCCATCAGCCCGCCGGCTGGGCCCCAGGTTCTGCAGCGAATTCCCATGTCTGTTAGAAGTACATTCTTTGACAGTGGTAACCATGGAGACAGACACCTCTGCATGCAGACTGCCGTCAGTGGCCAAAGCATGGTCGACTATTTAAATCCTTTGTGAAAAGGATGCTGTTTGAAGGTTTTTAAAGGAATTTACCGCTCATAGATCTAGGAAGGCAGATCTAACACTCAGAGACTTGCACCCTGATGCCGGTAAATGGAGGTAACGTCAGATATTAAATACGGTTCTTGATTCTATTCAACTTCTTTGAAAAAATGACTTTTCTAAAACCATTTACCATTTTGTCCTGGATTTTTATATGCATTTCACACCTCCAGCTTGGCAAACTTTATGGTGGGGATCCCCCTCCTCTTGGCAGATTTAGTCATGGAGGGGTGACTTCAGGGAAATGACTGAAGAGTCAAATCCCAGAATCACCCCCTGGCTGAAAACTTTGCAGCACAAAACAGCTTCTAAGAAAAATCTGTTTCCAGTGAAGATATTAATCTTAATCTTAATCTAAACACTGTTTTTTTCATTGCAACAAGGCTGTTTACATAATAATGGGTGGTTGTTTTTGATATCAGCACCATGCTTCTGTTCTCTGCAGTGTTTCAGCTCCAGATGTGGTGAGTGTGAGTGTGAGGGCTTACATTGAAATGGGTGTCAGGGTCCACAGAATAGGCCTCTATGGCAATCAGAGCTTTCTTTGTCCTTCTTCGGGAAGAAAAAAAAAAACATGCAATATTGTTGAAATTCTCTGGTCAATGTCCCTCTGCATCCAAAGAAAATGTACCTGGGAAGCTTCCAGTTCACACTGGTCTGAAGGAGTTGCTTTCTTGGGCATCTTTCCAGATAGTCCTATAAATTCCTGATGGGGTGGATGGGGCCGGCCGTAGACGCCGCTCTCAGCACATGCTGGCCACCTGTGTCTTGTAGAAGGGAGTGTTTCTCTCCAGGTCTCACCACTGGTCCTGTGCGTCGATGCCACCCAGACTCAAAATAACCTCACACTTTGTGTCAGTTTTATCATCAAAGTATATATTTATAAAAGACTGCCCGTCGTGATACTGATAACCACAAAGTGATTTCCTATAAAATAAAGCCAAAGATCAAATATCGCCACAGCGTGAGGTGAAAATAACCAGAGGCAGAAAGGCGGGATTAAACATGAGAGGGAAGAGCAGCTCGCTGCTTCACCACAGACGTCGCCTGGAAACGGCAACGTTTCCACCCATTTGAAAGCCTCCTGGCCTGCGGAGATGGTGCACCGCCTGGCTCTGGAGGCTCCTTCCCAAGGTATTGAGTAGAGACCGCGCCACCGTTCTGTAGCACCAGGGTGCAAACAGCTGAAAGGCCCATGTCCAGACATCCCGCCACTCCTGGAAGTTCCGGGAGTCTCCTGGAAATCTGGAGGCTGACAGCGGCTCCCTGATGCCCGTGAATGAGGTGCAGTGTCCTGGAAACCCGTCATTCCGCTATTCAGCCTTGGTAAAATCTGACACGCTAAGACCTTTAATAGCACATCACTGACTCAGGTTTCCGTGTGACGGTGCACACATGTGCTTCATATCTGGTTTGTGGTCTCAGTCTAGCCAACTACGCTCCTATTCTTAGCTTGAGTGGCCATACCATAGCCTCCAGAGAGTGCATACAAGGACCTAAAAGAGACCCATTGTGGCCGAAGTGCACTAACCCCCACCAGAAACAACTTCCTCTGGTGTTCAAATTCTACAGTGGGCCTTTTGCAGTGCACTGCAGTTGCTATGGTAAAAGGATCATTCATTACAACATAGCTGTTTTTCGTTAATCAAAAAAATACATGTTCCTGTGTCTTATCCGCATTCAGGCCAAATATAATCTACGTTACCTTATCGCTTGTGATTGGCCGAGCCTATGCTATCTTATTGTTCCAATGAAAGGCTAGATAAGCTTGTGTCAGTGTGATAAAGATGGACACAAGAAGCACTTGTTCTGTGAAGGTGAAGTGAAAACTAGCTGGTTCGTTGTGTTTCTATCATAAGCGATTGGTCTAAGACCACATGAGAAGCTCAACTTCCCCCATAAATTTGCCAAAAGAATTTCATTAGTAGATTCATTTTATTTGCAATTAGAAGTGTAATCTATCTTAATAACTGAACCACAGTGCTGACCATTTCACAGAAGTTGTAAAGCTGTCAATAACATATACATTGAAACCAAGATACTCGTAAATACAGCCCATAGATGCCCTTTGATGCCGTGCTTCACTATGAGTCTGTGGAAGATTCTTATATGCTTTGTTTAAATAGAGAATGGGCAAAAGCTTATTGGGGAATATGCTTTGATTATGTGTTTTCAGAGCCCACCCAGACACTGTGCTTCACTGTGAGTCTATGAAAGCTTATTGGGGAATATGCTTTGATTATGTGTTTTCAAAGCCCACCCAGACACTGTGCTTCACTGTGAGTCTATGGGAGCCTCATAGATTTTTTTTTTTGCTTGAGCATCATTGACTGGACAGTCATAATTGCCAGGCTTCTCTTGCATGGTGATTGGGAGGCTAAGCCTCTATGAAAGTGAGCAGAAGGTCGCCAATTCCAGCCTGGCCTTGCCCCACCTGTGGGTCCTTCAGCCAGGCCCCTAACCCCCTGCTTGTTACAACAGGTGGCTGCCCTTCACAGCCAGCCTGCCCTCACCTACAGAGAGCAAGTTGGGGGAGGTGTAAAGAGAATTTCCCCATGGGGATCGATTAAGGATCAGTTATAACATAGCAATAACATTAGTTCTCACAATTGATAAGTGGTGTTGGCTCACAGTAATTCCTTCATTGTGTCGCATGCAGGGGCACAGAAGCATTTCATTGTAACCCAGAGTGACAGTTTATGATTTCATATACCATCTTTCACCATTGGCGCTTTATAAATATTGTAAATAAAGTTATCGCTGAGTTCTCAAGTTTGCTCATTTGTCAACCATGCAGGTATGACAGGATAATAGGTCATTTCTTGCAAAAAGAAAGGAGATCAGAATTTACATATAAGTACTGTAGCTGACTGGCTAAAATAAAAAACACCATTTTTGGTTCACATTCCCAGCTGTTGACACTGCGCTTCCCCCATTAATCTGCCACTGGTTTCCACTGACTTCACATTGGCGATAACAGAATCTGTTTAAGGTGTAACATCATCAGACCATCATGGTATTCCCGAGTCATCCAGAACAGTGTGGTAGCTTCATAGCTTTATAGAAAAAGTATGTAAAACTTTCTTATCATGCTCACAGTGAAGCATTTCTCGATCTTTATACTTTAGAAATGCACACATCGGCCTGGTACTTTGGAAACGTTTTTAATTTGAGATTAAAATGACCCCAGTCTGCAGCAGACACTCAGTAAAGGTTCTTCAACCAGGAGCAAAACCATGAGTCACAAACCACAAGGCTAAAATAACCATGTGTACGTTTTACTCATGAAAAGAAGAGCAAGACGGTCGGCAATGAATAGCGCTATGGTGTGAGGCAGGTACAACGATGGCGAGCCCCTGAGGGTCATTAAAAGTGCCGACAGGGTGAGAATGGGCCGGCACGCCCTTTCTCCGTGGTCTTTTGTAAAGTTCTGCTAAATTTTTCCACTCAGTTTTAAAGCCCCCCTGATTTCCGTAAATGAGCATTGTGAAAACAATATATTTTTTTTAAACGTATCCGCTCATAAAAAATTCGCTTTTGCATAATGGAAAAGTGTGATTATATTTTCTGGCGGCACAGAAAAACGCTCAAAAAACAGCTCAGAACCTCTACATCCCTCAAGTCATTTTCTTATTTTTAAACGGCGCTGCCTCTGGACACTGAGCCATAGGACTGATTTTTCTCCTGGTGCCAGCTGTGGAGATTCCATCTCCCAGAGACGGGAACCTCTCAGCCAGCATTGGGCAAAGCAGCCATGTCGTCTGTGTATCAGTGGTTCCCAATCCAGTTCTTGAGGATCCACAGACAGTCCTAGGTTTGCTCGTTTATGCCCTACCGGGAGCTGGGAGGGAGCGAAAATGTGCAGAATCTGGTAGGGGGCTCAGAGGAAGCAAAAACATGGACTGACTGTGGGTCCCCGAGGACCGGTTTGGGAAAAACTGCGTTATAGTGTGAGAGATTGTGGAGCCCTGTCTTATATTACATGATCCTTTAAGTTCTGCTCGGCCTTCCCAGGATCAATTAAATTCTGTGCAACATATCACTTCTTCTCTTGCACATTCACTGTCATCGAATCTAACTCGACATACACAATACATATCTCACAACATTCCTTACGTTTACATCTCCATGAACATGCAGCATATTCACTTGCTTTACAGCAGAAGAGGAAACCACCCAGACCTTTTTTACTGTGCGGGGAAAACTAACTTTTCCGAAATAAAACCAGCGTGCATTCCTACTATTTACATAAACATTCTGTAGTAAAAATATGTTGAGAAAAAGTCTTTGCAAGCGAGTCAGAGGGGCGGGTGCTCATCAGAGAAAAGAACCTTTTACGGAAATCCGACTTCATCAAATAAAAATAGACATGACTGAGTCAAAGAATAAAACTCTTTATGAAGACTGGTAGCAGTTCACAGTTCAGGCCTCATTGTGAGGTGTCCAGCGGTCCTCTTCAGTTACTTGGCCACAATTCTGGCTTGGGAGTGCGTACATTGTTTTTCTCTTTTTCGTCCAGGTAATTTTACGGCTGGGGACCTCTGAGTTAGCCAGGGACAGGTACGAGGCGATGCTGTCCCGTACGCCGTAGCTCATCTGATCGTCCTCGTCGTCCTGCAGGTCCTCAGTGCTCTGGTTCTCCAGCTGCGGGCTGTTCAAAATCCCAACAACAGGCCATTTACGTATCGTTAGCAGTTTTACGTTATTACATAGCTATTAAAGTGACAATAGAGTTAGTTATAAAGCCAAGGGGGGCTATGAATCAAAGGAAAACACTTTCGGAAAGATTCCGGCGTGCCACTGGAGGATGTACCTGTTCATATTCTTCTGGTTGTTGTTACGCCTCATCACCACCGGAGGCGCCTGAGAGGCGATGTTCACGGAGTTGTGGCTCTGGGCCAAGCAGGGAGCGTTCAGCACACAGCACAGGCCGTCGGCCAAATCTGGAGGAGCGCAGCCATAAGTGCTCGCAAAAGGAGAAACGCACTAATGCGAGCGCTAATTCTGCTCGGCGGCTGGGAAAATCACAGTTTTAACGGGAATGCCATGATAGTCCTGTTCACTGTTTGTGAGGAGGTGACATAGACCGCCGTCAGCCGCAGGTAACAGAAGTGCTTACCGGAGTAGTGCGTCACTAAGTCCTCCAGACACTGGAAGGTGAGGCGAGGAGAGATGTAATACCAGTTGTTTGGCAGACGGAAGATGCGGTAATGTATGATGGACCTGTGTCTGACTGACAGGCAGTAAACACCTGCCGGGAAACACAAGGTGTGAGATGTTCCAGTGCTGGTCCTCATCAGGTGAACATCTACAGCTAATTGGCCCCCAGAGTGCCACCTCCCCTGTTACTCACCAATTCAAAGCATATCATTGGCTAATGATATGGTTGGCTCTTTTTATTATGAATCACGGCCCCTATCAGGTCCCCCATCTTAGTGATGATAACTCTTTAATGAGTTTTGTGCGCATGTTTGAATTACTTTCATTACCCAAAGATTGAATGATAAGTTTATAGTGGAAATGGGATTGTGTGATTCTGCTTTGGCCTACGGTGATGTCTGTTCCTGATCGCACCTTTTTCCCTCGCGCTCTCTCTTATCATGAAGGATCCAATCCGGTTCCCTGGCAGGAAAAGCAGCTCTTCGGACTTTTTCCTGTCCACACCCTCGAACAGCCAGCTGGGGGATGAAATCGGTCCATCACCACCAAGCAGACTCCCACGCGCACGTCCTGAGGCCGCTGTGACGGGTTCGAGAAGGGCCTCACCTGTGGTAGACTTTGGCCACGTAGTTATTGGGAATGTAGTTCTCAGCTGCGGTCAGGAGGGAGCAGACTTTCAACCAGCATCCTTCTCTAGGAACAAAACACCATGGAAAAAAGGCATTTTAAGGTTCCCTATAATAAAAATAATGACCGTAACCCAACTGGTCTCGCAATTCTATGTGACAAGGCGTCAGCTATGAGAAGTTATAACGTTACATAGCAGGTTATCAGTAAAAAAGGATCCAGGCATTCACAGGCTTAATTATTTACTGCCAGACCAGTGTATTTTATTTTAGTGCATTTTTCACGTGATATAAAAGACAGTTCTATATGATCTCTATAACAGCATATCATATGTTTCCTATGCAGCTCTGTATTACATCGTTTTGTTGGATATTTATAAATAGTTTTATTTATTGTTGTTTCTCAGTTGAATACATATATTACTGTGTAAGGAAGTCGAACAACTCAGGCAATTCAGAATAAAGACCTCATACTCTTTTTCCAGAACAGTGAGCATTCTCAGATCTGGCCAGTAGCAGAGGGTGAGAATTTAAATTTAGTACAATATTCGTAATACCACAGGCACTGGAGAGGGTTTAATTAAGCGTGCTGCCTATTTATCATTAAGCAGAATCCGTTATTAACGAGCCATAATCAACAAGTAGAAGGGACCGGGCCTTACTCAGACAGGAGGCGGAGCTTCTCTCCAGTCCGGAAGATTGGCTCACTGATATTGGAGGAGGGGTAGTCATTAATGACAATGAGCACTTCACTTTCTGTCAGACACAAGAACAACCTGCCATCAGTCGTCATGAAAGGAGGATGCAGCCGGTGTCATATTCTGCCTTTTCAAGTGGCCGAAAATACCAGCCATAAAGTTACAAAGCGTCAGCTATGAATCAGGAGTCAGCAGTTAATGCACTGCAGGGTCAGCGTGTGACACGTTACGCAGTCAAATCAAGTGCGTGCATCTGTAGGACAGTAGGAGAGCCCCAAGGAAGTTGAGTTTTTACTCGATTACTTGTAACCAGCAAATGGAGCCATTTTCCTCTGCCTAAAACCTGGGTGATATGTGTGACTCATGTACCAAGTGAGGGGAACATATATAAAAACAGACCTGTTGTTTTAGGTAGTAGTAGATAGAAAATTACGAAATATGTAAGATTAGCATCCTGGCTAAGGGGAGTCAGGGCAGTGCTAACTAAACTAACTTATGTTGCTAAGTTCAAAAAAACATCAGCTATCAGGCCCAAATTCTATTACTTTATTATCACACTCAAAATGTGATTAATTACTCTAGACTCCCTTCAATAATACATCGAGCACATCATATAACAATTACATAACAATTCGCAAACAAGACATTTCGATAGTATTAAAATGCTCAGCATCACTTGAATATAGCTACATAAAAATATGCATTGAGCACCAATAAGGAAAATTGTGACTTGAGGGACATGTGACTGAAAGACGGGTACATATTTTGAAGATTATGACTTGTTTTCTTCTTTTGACATTGAATAAATAATGGTGACATTAGGTAAGAAATCGTGGAGCCAAATCTCAGCCATATCACGCTGAAAATCTGACTGTTGTTATAGTTAATGTTTACTGCGAAAGCAGATTTCAAAAATAGCTGATAATACGAAAAGTACTTTCCGGCACAAGTTTCCTTTCCATTATAGGGTAATAACGAGACATTAAAATCGGACTCTACACTGAAATCTGACGTGTCTCCGGCTTTAGTCAGCCTGCATGCCTGCTCAGTTTAATAAGAAAATAAAAACATGCTGAGTTTCTCTTTCACAGTCAATCACAGACAATCAGTCGCCTGTCCCTGCACTCACCTTTCTGCTCGGGGCTGTTGCCTGCATTGTTCGTAGCTTCGCTCCTTACGGCGTTCCCCATGGTTTAGTTCTGAGTCCAGCTGCACCAACAGATACAGACTAATGTGACTGTCATTCCTGCACTTTAAAAACGAGCGTCCTTTTGACTGTATCACGTATCTGTGAGCTTGCTCTGATGGAGCAACGTTAGGTTATCCCTCCCTAGCAGTCGTAATACAGTTGCATTGCAGCTTCCTTATTGAACAGCAAGTGAGGGTGTTATCTCCGCTGCGGCAGTGAGTGCAAGAAATGGGGAAGCAGCGTCAACTGCGATTTTCCATTGCGACAAATGATTAAAATAGGACAGATAACATGCATCTCAACTACAATATAAGACCTGAAAGAGGAACCAACTGGTAACTGTCACAGGCATTTAAATGCTGGCAGGTTATATATATAACTTTTCAATATGCAGATAAGTTTCTTTATTTAGCCCAAAGGTAGCTTATTAATTCATAGTTATACTTTTTTGGTGCATCAAAGACTCTGACTCATTCCATGCATCAAAGCCTCTGTGAACACATGTTGAACTACTGATCAAAGACTCAGTGAGTCTGCATTAAACTCCACATGAAAGACTCAGTGAGTCTGCATTAAACTGCACATGTAAGACTCAGTCTGCATTAAACTCCACATCAAAACACAGGGAGTTCATGTTAAACTGCACATCAAAGACTCAGTCATTCTGTGTTAAACCATACATCAAAGACTCAGTGAGTCTGTGTTAAACTGTACACAACAGACTTAGTGATTCTGTGTTAAACTGCACACAATAAACTCTGTGTCTGTGTTAAACTGAACATGAAAGGTTCAGACTGCATTAAACTGCACATCAAAGACTATGTTAAACTGCACATCAGACTGCACATCAAATCTCAGCAAGTCTGTGTTAAACTGCACATCAACAACTCAGTCTGTGTTAAGCTGTACATGTGTGATGTGTGTCTCTAATTTGAGTTAATAGTAGAATTGCTTACTGCGTTGCTGTAGGTACTTGTTAAGCCACTGAAGCAATCAAACCCATTATTTTAGACCTTTATTTCTCTCAGGTGTGATGATAACATCAGCCTCCTGCTATGTCACTTCCATGTTCCTCTCTGTGCAATTAATAATTTACTGTTAGTGGGAGAGACGAGTGTGACAACAAATTATGTGCTTAGTGAATGACCATATCAAAGTAAAAAAGACAATATCTTTCATATATGGTGACATTCCAACAGCACAGGGGCTGGAAGATCACTCGCACTACTGCACAGTACACCTTTAATCACTCGCACTACTGCACAGTACACCTTTAATCACTCGCACTACTGCACAGTACACCTTTAATCACTCGCACTACTGCACAGTACACCTTTAACCCCAAAGGACAGGCATGTCCATGGGGGAGGTTTATAGGTTTGACAGAAATAATAATGCAGTAGACCTTTCTGCATCATGACTTTCCCCATCGCGGTTTTGATACGTCTCAGGGTTGGGATACGAAATGAAATGGCCATTTTTCTGAAAGCCGCAGGTGATGCAAAAAGTTTAGTAATTCATCCATCCATCCATCCATTGTCCAACCCGCTTATCCTACTGGGTCGCGGGGGGTCCGGAGCCCATCCCGGAAGCAACGGGCACGAGGCAGCGAACAACCCTGGATGGGGGGCCAGCCCATCGCAGTAGTAATTCATAAATGCATAAAATATATGTACAGTGCTGGATTGGAGGATGCTCGCATACTCGCTTCTCTCGCCAACAAGACCAAAAAATTTTACGTGGGTTTTGTGCCTGTAGCCTCCAGGATAGGCTCCGGACCTCCTGCAACCCTGAATAGAACAAGCCGTTACAGAACATGGAAGGATGGATGGATGGATGGGTGGATGGATGGATTGATGGATGGATGTAAGTCACATGTATTATACATGTAGTTAATGCTTGACAGACCCTGTACTTCATGGAAGTCCTGCAACTTCATCAGGGGCCACTGGCCCCTGGATCCGCACCACAGTAGCCCTTGCCGGGGAACGACCGACTCGCCCAGTGCCGGAAGCATCTTATGAGCCCCAGTGCAAGATGTTTTTTTTTTTTTTGGGGGGGGGGGGGCGTTTTTAAAAATCGCCAACCTCAGACAAACAAAAAAAAGACTGACAAAGCCTCAGACCCTTAGTGGTTAAACGTCACAGACGTACCATGTATCTTTATAAAGATACAAGATATAGAACATGAACTTTTATAGCCTTTCCATAAAAAAAGAAATTAAAAATTGGAGACTGTGACCAAGATAGATTTTCCAGCCAGGTAAAGTATACATAGAGCTCTGGAAAAAATTAAGAGACAACTCTATATTTAAAAAAATCTACATAGTTAAATCCTGGTTTAATCCTGGTTCTGCTGGCAGAAGGATACATTGCGCGACAGGCTGCTTCCAGGCTCAAAGTTTCTAAGACAGCAGTACACAAGAATAAAGTGAAGCAGGAGACACTGGCAATGACCAAAAACCAGCCACGTAAAGGGAAGAAGCAACTTTCTAATGCCAGAGACTGTCAGCTTATCCGGCTGTGCCTCATAAACTGGAGGATCACCACCTCAAGTGACCTTCAAAAAGAATGGAAAACGTTAAGTGGTGTGAAGTGCACTGCTAGGACAGTTCATATCAGGCTCCTAGAAGCAAGACTGAAGTCCTACAAAGCAAGGAAGAAGCCCATAAATTGAGAAATGAGTGAAACAGAAAATTTTCCTGAGGTCTCTTAATTTTTTCCAGAGATGTATATACAGACGCTCCTTTCCTTACAAACGAGTTACGTTCCAAACGGCCGTTCGTAACTTGAAATGTTCGCAAGTCGTTATTCAATATCATTTAAGGGTATACACAAGTACAAAGAACTAGGATGCTGGGAGTACGCACGGTACGCTGCTGCGCGGCAGGAGTAGCGGCCAGACATTATACTAGACAGAATTGGTGCGCAGAAAAAAAATTGATGCTGTGGACAGGAAACGAGAGCCTAAGGAATACTATTTGGACTTATAGTCCTCTTCGTTCGTATGTCTGAAAGTTCGTAAGTTGAAAGTTTGTAAGTAGAGGAGCGTCTGTATATCGTTTGTTTTCTGGGGGTTCATAATACAATGTAATGTGCTTCAGTAATTTAAGCTAATAGACCAATCGCCTCCTGATCCTCTCCGCGAAGGGAAGGGCTTCACCCACCCTCTGTGGGGCCCCCTGTTTCTGAGGACCCAGTGAGGCTGCACTGCCTGTAATTCTGCCTGTGGACTCGTCTAGCTTCCTGGTTTATACTCAGCTCATAATACTGGGTTTTTTGTGTAGATAATGCAGGTTTAGGTGCTTCAGGTCGGCCATGAAAGAACCTGACCTGGCACCATGAGAGCTGCGACCTTTCCAAGGTCCAAACTAGTCTGCTGTAAGCCCCGCGGAATCCCCAGAACTGGACTGAAAGGCATTTACGTAAAGTTGGTCCGTTCTGGCGATGGGTACGGAACACTGTTTCCCATAGGTTGGCGCCCATTAATGTGCAGCCTCAAACTATACCTGCTGTGTATAATCAGCGAAATGCACCAAATGTAGCTGATCTGCCGTTTACGGACCACAGGCGATGTCGAAACACCACTCAGCCTTTCTGCAGGTGGAAACCCATGCAATACTGGGGGAACACAGAAGCTGACATGGTGTGGACATGGGATTCATAGTGGATGTTTTGTTTTTGCATCTATCTTTTCACTGATGTAAGGAAATGTATTTATTCCTGTCGTGTACTAAAGAGGACATGCTGTCAATTAAAAAATAAAAATAAATTTGAAAAAATCTGAATTGTAAGATGTCTTATTTCCTCCAAAGACAAATAACCTAAAATTGAAGGACACTTTTTTCCTTGGGTCTCAGGAGGATGTAGGTATATATATATATATATATATATATATATATATTTATATATATATATATATAAAGACAGACACAAATCAAATGTAAATGAGCAGCAACATGAGGGATCATATATATATTATGTTATATACCACACTTGTTTTGTGTTTCAGTAATATTTAACATTTCTAAAAAATGAGTTGTAGATCAATGCAATAAAAATGTGAACATATTCAATGATACATCTTTAAATCATATTACACTGCTAAGGTGATCAGTATGAGACCTACAGAGCCATTGCGAGAGAAACTCGCTCGGTACGGCTTTCATTACACATAAGAAGAAGGTGCGGTACCTCCGGCGTGCGTTACAGGTGTTTCCCTTGCTCTAACAGGCTTGACGGATCAGCGCTGTACTCATCGCCGGCGGCACAGGTGCAGAGAGACGGGGCTGCGGAGCGGCGCAGACCCGCGCATGTCACACGCTAATGGGGAGCAGCGACCCGATGCTTGCCGCTGTTTTTAGGTGCGACGTGCCGAGGCGGAGCGCGCACACTTCCTCTTATGAAACGAGGAAGAACACAGCCAACCTTCCCTTTTTCATGAAGGCAAAAGCTTAATAAGCGCACAGTGTAGGTAAACTCAGACGCTGGGAGGAGCTGCCGTAGATGAATGCTGCCTGCCTAAAACTATTTTCAGTCGTTTTCTGAAAGGGGTACGTTTCGGTCGTCAAGCTTGCGCCTTCCGTTTTGCGTGCCAGATACAGACGCCCTATCACACCGGAAGCAGCATACTGGTCAAAGTAGCCTAAAATTATCTGGCCCAAATGATCTGTATCTGGGGAGGCCCCAAGGTTAAAACAACGCTCTCATTTGGCTTCTTGCTTGAGATTTAACAACTGGCCTTTAGTTGCAGGATGGATTTTCTGTTTAATGAAATCTTACTTGACCCCAGAAATAAATATGCATTATAAAAAACATGTTAAATGGGAGACTAAGACTTCAACCCAAATGAGCATTTTGTGCTGTGTGGTCTGCACTTTTTTCTATGCTGATTTTTTTTCTTTTGTAAATAATCATTTACATATTTTGGTTTTGTCATTCACCTTATCACCAGTAAACAAATCATATATAAATATCATATATATTTTTGCACTGGTAGCCCTCTGGAGGCATATTACAACTACTGCAGATATGCCACTGCTTGGTAGTAAGACACTCCTACCACACAATATTCATATTTTTTCATTAGAACCAACCTTTCGTAACTGTCGGAGAGAGTAATAGGAAGTGGTGTTGTGGGGAGCGCTGCGCTTCATCAGGGTAGCACAGAGTCTCCGGAAAGCAAAGGAACTTTGCTAGAGAAACACTCAAAAAGCAAGCAAACTGACTTTTAAATAGAAAAATTGGACGAATGCCGGAAATTCGTAAATAAAATCCGGTTATGCTATGAATGTGGCGGACCACTTTCTACTCCCCCTGTCTGCTATTAGACCAGGTGACCCTGTTTACAACTACAGCTAATCTGGGCCGTAGAAGTGTCATTAATTGAGCACATGGCGATCACACGTACGGCAGATGGGTGGTATACAGGTCACCCAAAGCCTGCTCTGTGTCCCTGCTGTATGTCATGCGGGGTCATGATAATATATCAGAGGACCCATGTGATGCGACTGCCTTTATAAGCAGTAGATCCCTATTACTGGTGACCACCTGGATCTTCCACATCTGATTATGTAAGCAAACTCTTTCTTTAAGGTGTACTTTCACTCGGACGCCTCTAGACAGACACCTGACATGTACTGCAGCTGTCCAGGCAGGCCTCCTCAGGACATAAGCCGACTCGTGATATTTCCGGATCTGTGCGATGAGTCACTGTGTAAACAGATAACACAGACAGGAAAAAACAATGACACTTGCCGAAATGGTTCGCCCTCTCCGTACCGTCCATCTCAGTGGTTGACAGCAAACTTGCATTTAGAGCTTTTCAAGTTATGCACTTTCAGTCAGGAGTGCACATACAAAGGGGAAACCTACACGATCCGGGGAGAACATGCAACCCCCACTCCTCAAGCGGAGGTGGGATTCAAAAGCCCAACCTTACAGTTGTGAGGCCACTGTGCCAGCTTAGCTACTGAGCTTCCATGCGGCCCAGCAATTGCTCTTAATTGCTGTTAAATAAGAAACTGATTCTATGATGCCCTGCAACCTCTCCAAAGTGTGCCATGTGCCTTCTGCTTCCATGAGATGGATGGATGGATGATTGATTGAGTGGCATCTGGGGGGTGTGGCTCAGTTGGATAGGACACTGTGTTAATGATCAGAAGGTCACTGGTTCAGTTCCCATGATCAGCAGAGTGACTTCACCATTTCCCCATTGCCCCAACCCCCCCAGGCAAGGCCCTCAACCCCACACTTCACAGACTAGCAGATCCTGCTTTCTCAGCTGTATGTCAGTAAATGTATGTAAGTACCCTGTCACCACCTACAACAGATTCAAACATTCCCCAATCAGAAATCAGGGATTAATAAGGAAGTCTAACCTGTGGAGGGGAATCAAGAGGCCCCAACACAAGCTGCAAATGGAGGACAACTTCAGAAACTCCAAAGCTTGACACATGTGGCAAGGCATCCAGGCCCTCACTGACAACAAGCCAGCCAGCTGAACCCCCTCTACCATGGACTCTGACCTTCCTGACGAACTCGAGACGTGTGCTCCACTCTGAGCAGGGTGAATGCATTCACGACCGCTGGACCTGATGGCATCCCAGGGAGAGCGCTTAGGACCTGTGCACAGCAACTGGCGGGGATCTTTGTGGGCATTTTTAACATTATCCTGGCACAAGCAGCTGACCCCACCAGTTTCAAATCAATCACTACTGTGCCAGTAATGAAACCTTCTGCTCAACGACTTCCACCTCAACACTCTTATCCCCATCATTGCCAAGTGAGAGGTTGGTCTCTCCCACTGGAAATCCAGCCTGACCCCAACACTGGATCCACATCAGTTCATCTATGGCTCCAACAGATCAACAGATGATGCCATTCCCACAGCACTCCATTCTACCTGGACAACACAAACCCTTATGTTAGAATGTTATTTATTGATTTCAGACCATCTTTCAACATGGTAACCCCATCAAAGCTCCAAGATCTCCAAAATCACCAACCTGGGCATTAACCCCTCCATCAGCAAATGCATTCCGGGCTTTCTTACCAACAGACCACGATCTGTTAGGATCAAATGTCTCTCCTTTACCGCCATCACACTGAAGACAAGGGCACGTGCTTAGTCCTCTCCTTTACTCCCTCTTCACCTGTGACAGCAAACCTGTTCATAGCTCGAACTCCATAATCAAGTTTGCAGACGACACCACAGCGGAGGACCTGATTACCAATGACAATGAATTAGCCCTCAGGAAGGAGGACCAAAGCCTGCCAGAGTAGTGTACCAACAACAACCAAACGCTCAACACCCAGAAAACAAAGGACCTCATCATGGACTACTGGTAGACAAAGGGGCTTGGCACACACTCTCCCATCTATCTCAATGGGGATGAGGTCGAGCGCATTTCGAGCTTCAAGCTCCTGAGTGTCCACATGTCCAAAGACCACAGTTGGGCCCTTAAAACAACCACTGGTAAAGAAGGCACACAAGCATCTCTAATTTTGGAAGAGACTCAGGAAAGCTCACCTATCCCCCGTATTTTGCTGAATCTCCACCAGTCCCTTTCACCACTATCATGGGTAGTTCACCCTTCTCCAATCTGGGAAGTGCAACAAAAGCCTCTGCTCTCAAGCATCCCACCCCCACATAATTTGTTAGCTCAACTAAACCCTGTTTTTATTTGCTCTCTGCACATTTTGCACAATGTGTACCTCCAGTTTGCAATTTCCGCCATTTCCTCTGGTCAATCATTTTTTCTGGACTTCCTATACTACATGCAATGCTCTACCTCATGTCTATTTTGCAAAGAACCTCAACTTACACTTATTAGTTATGTATAAATTATTTATAACGTATTGCATTTATTGTATTTGTGTATATTTATTTGCACCTGGATAGATGCTAACTGAATTTTTTTGGCTCTGTACCTGTACTCACTATAATGACAATTAAGTTGAATCTAATCTAATCTAATCTAATCTAATATAAACACAGGAGATGCTTTAGACCTCCCTGATTGTAATTATCACTTACAGCCTTTGGAAATGGATGTCTGCGTGTATAAACTCTTATATGCATGCTTAACTTATATGTGTGTGTGTGTGTGCGTGTGTGTGTATATACATAGATATAAATAAAGAAAGAGTCATTCTTAGGTCAGTTTCGTAGATGAGGCAGTCATTCTGCATACTGTAATGCTATGAGGCATGATGCATTGTCCACTTCCCAGGATAGAACAACAAGAAAACTTTTAAAGGGGCTGACCGCCTAAATCCAGCTTGCTGTGGTGCCGCTTACGTGGAGTAATGCGCAGAGCGGAGTGCTTTCTCACCACTGTCACACATACAAGGAACAGGAAGTGTGCAAATAGGACCGTAGCTGCACAGAGAAACCAGCAGGATCACATGCATCCAGAAAGGGCCTGTTTTAACTGTTTATAAACACGCCAGGACGGTCTCCTGTGCGCGGGACACAGAGTGAGGGCTTCCAAGCTCTCTACACTCACTCTCCTTCATTTTTAATAAGGATCACTAACTTTACATAGCAAGAGATTGAAGAACAAATCATTTTGGGAAAATGAAGCAACCACTTCATGTCGATGGATCTGAATTTTTAATGACGAGTGAGAAGTATCTGAAGTACTTACTTACTAGCTAACGTGTGTTTTTTATATATTAAAATATTAGCAGTCACTTACCAACCCAAATTTATTTCATACTGTACTATTTATGTTTTTACTTCTTGATATTTTTTTATAACCATCAGTGGTATTAAAATAATTATTGTGAAAACTGTTAATGCATTTATGCTTCTTAATTAGCATTTTAAAAGCCTCTGGACTGGTGTGTGTGTAATTATGGAGGTATTTGTGGAACTTGTATAATTATCATGTTACAGTCCTTATGGCAATCCCATTTTCCTTAAATAATTCACACTGACACATTATCTGAACATCACATGAAGAAAGAAAGAAAAATAATGAACAGCCCCAGGAATAATAAAACCAGAGAAACACATTATAATGAACTGCAAAAATCACACATTCACATATGTTCTTCATCCCATTCAATAAATCCCACATTCACTCATTTTCTCAGTGTTTTGTGAAGATTTTTTTTTACATTTTATTATTTTATATAAAACATCCTATTTTAAAGTCACAGTTTCTGTATTATAGATATAATGATGTCATGACAAAATCTTATGAGAAAATCAGAGTATTGTTTGTTAGAAACTAACTTTTATTGTTGTAATGAATAGTGCATAAAATCCTTTTCACTGTTTTTAGATAGTTTTTTAATAGTGACTTTTCAGAAAGTGAATGTCAGGTTCCGGCTTTAAATTATACTCATATTTCTGTTCTGCTTTCTGAAAAACACAAAGACACTGCTTTGTGTGACTGTGCGACGCCCCACGGACAAACTCAC